CCCGTCAGTCTGTTTGTCTACCCATCTGTTATATATATATACACACATACATACATACATACATACATACATACATACATATATATATATATTGTACACTGTACATCTGATGTGGTGGGTCCCGCCAACAAGAACGAGCAATAGACGGGGCATTGGGAAGTAGGTTGTAGAGCTTTGGAGTGGGAATATAGGCCATGCAAGGATTTCCGTTGAGTGCCCGGCTTGCCTTGTGAGTGTCGAGTTGTTGAGGGTGCTGCCGAGCTGTGCTGCCCTGGGGATTGTTTACGACTTAGGGTTTCGAAGAGGTTTGGGAATCAAAAGCGTTTGCATGCTCCTATTGTTCGGGATGGTGAACAGCCTCAGCATGACCACCATCTCCATGACTGCCACTACCATCCGCTTGTTTCGATGCGACTGCTAGTGCCGTTGCTGTTGGTGAGCCAACTGGTAAGCCACCAGGGTGGTGGCAGCAATAGCAGCAGCAATTTAGCAGTAGCGTGGGTGCTTCACGCAAGGTGGTTGTGGTGGTGGTGGGTTGTCGGAGTGGTGGTGGTGGTGGTGGTGGTGGTGGTGGTGGTCGTGGTGCTGCTGCTGCTGCTGCTGCTGCTGGAGGTTGGAGCCGAGGCAAATACGAGGCGTGTTTTTGGATCGTGCGAAGTACCGACGGCAACGGAACGAACGGATTCGCGATTCGCTGGTCGCATGGTGTTGTCGCAGCAGAAGAGTGCTAGTAACTAGTACTTATCTAACCAGTACTTCTGTGGCAGCGGCAGGTGCTATCAGTGTCACTTTAGCAATATCGCCCTTGATGGCGTTTGTTTATCAAAATGTCAAACCAAGGACTATATGTTGTTTGTGTGTGTGTCCCACCTATAGCAAATCTGCGCAATTGTGCTGGCAGCTTAAACAGCAACGATAGACGACACTAACGATGACATCAGCATTTTGGCACTGCCGCCAAGTGGCTGCTTGGTTCGGGTATTCAGCTCCGCAAATGTAAGCCTCAAGACCGAACCCTAAGCCCAACACTTCCAAACCCCTCAAGCCCAAGACCCAGGCCCCAACCTCCCAAGCCCTACAGAACCCTTACAGTACCGCTTGTAGTATCCCTTATCCTAAACCTTATAAGTCGCGTTGAAACGCCTACACCCAAAACCCAAACCCCCAAAGCCCTAAAGCCCTAAAGCCCTAAAGCCCTACTCCCGAGCTGTGCAGGTCTGGCGATCGAGCCACGGCCACGACCGAACGATCAAGGCCCCAGTTGGTGGAGTTTCAGGGTTTCCCGGTAGGCGGGGTTTAATTTGGGTTTGTGGGGTGGGGGTGCCCGTTCTTTAAGGTTTTCTAGAAGGGCTACGGCTACTACAAGGGTTTCAATAAAGTGTTACCATGAGGGTTTAGGGTTTCGGAGTCAGGGTTCAGGACTGATGGACAAGATCCTGCAATGGGAGTCGGGTTTATGATTCAATGTATATTCCCTGCTTCCGGGCAGCGCAGGAGGTGGTCAATCAGACGCAAGGTGGTGCCAGTTCCAGGTGATGACTTTTTCCGAGGCGTTTTGAGGTTTCGACGTAGGTCTGGGTGCTTGGAGTGGCTGGGTCCGGAGCCCTCAACTCACAGTACCCTGCGCCGACGCGGTGCACCTAGGCCTAATCGAGCGCTGGACCAGCCTATACTAAACCTCAGGATGATCTTTTTCAGAAAAAAAAGCCTCAGATGTAAACCCCCAGTAAAGGTACCCTCGAAGTGTCTGTGTCTGCGGAGTGCCAGAAGTTCACAGAAGAAGAGGATTGCGAATTGTAGGGAAGCCAAGAGAGTGATTGGAACCCATGAGCGCTGATCATGCCAAAAGGCTGGCTAAACCCTATTAAAGCCCTCAGCCCTGAACCCTAAGCCCTAAACCCCAAACCCTAAACCCTAAAACCCTTATAAACCCGTATAAACCCTAGTAAACCCCAAACCCTAAACCCTGTAAACCCCTAAAGCCTGAACCTTTCCTCCTCCCTGGTCGGCCCTATAAACCACCAACATCCTAGGTAGTATAAGGGAGACCCCTTAAAAGGGGACCCTCTACTTGTGGCTCCCTTAAAGAGGACCTTATTGAGAGGGTCTATATCCCCAAGGGTCCATCCTAAAGACTAAACAATAAACCCCCTAATCCTAACTCCCATAAAATACGCAAACCGGAAAGGCCTGCAACCAGTCCTTGCGCAAGCTGGGCGTGGACTATATCGACCTCTATGTCACTCGGTAGGCATTACCTTAAGGACCCCAAACTACGGATTTAGGGTATATTCCTTATTGTGGGTAATGCAGGATTTCTATGTCACTCGGTAGGACCTTGGTTTAGGGCTTAAAGGGTTTAGGGTTTAGGGTTTCCATGTACATTTTTGGGATTAAGAGGATCCCCGCTACCTCAAATCCGAAACCCTGAAACCCCTACAGTTGTGAGCTCAAAAGCTAAACTCGCATATCTCCGCACCCCAAAATCCGTAATTACCCCTAAACCTGAAGCCCTTAACCCGCAAAGCCCCCAACCCCCTCCCTATAGTAACCCATGTAGTACCCGCTATCGTAAATAGCGGAATAATCCTCAAACCCAACCCCACATTTGACCTTTGTAGTAAAGCTTCCTCGAGATAAACAACCAATGTAACTAGTGGCTTTATTGCTTACCAACAGGGTTTCTTCGGGGTCCTTGTTAAAATTAGAACGATAATGTACCCCAAAGCCCTGTTCTGATTTTCAAGGGCCTAAACCTTGGCTATAGAGGCCTTTAACTTATAAATGCCCTATATCATAGAACCTTGAGAACCCTATTAAAGATCTTTAAACTCTTATGGAAGCCCCTTAAAAAATCATCAAAATCAATCTTTAAACCTACACCCTTACAAAACCATTGAACAACCTTTCAAGAAGCCGTTTAGAAAATCTTCTTCAAGCGGTTACATAAGCACCAAAATCCGTTCGAAGCCCTTGAACATCCCGTTCAGGCAGGATGTTGAAAGGCGTTGATCATGTTTCGGAATATTCTCTATTTTTCCAGAACCCTAAACCCTAAACCCTAAACCCCCAAACCCCTAACCCCTAAACCCCTAAACCCCTAAACCCTAGACCCCCAAACCCCTAAACCCTAACAACAACAAACAAAAAAACCTAAAAAGCTTAAAAACCCTAAAACCCTAAACCCTAAAACAAACAACAAAAAGAGGTCATCCACTGGCCCGGGCCGAAGACCGGCTGGCCACTTCCCCGAGGTCCGGAAGCCGGGGACATGGGAGGAGCGTGGGGGGTTAGGGTTTAGGGTTTTGGATTTAGGAGGGTTTAGGGTTTATAGGGTTTGGGGTGCAGGGTTTAGTGTTTAGGGTTCAGGTTTAGGGTTTAGGGTTTAGGATGTAGGGTTTAGGATTTAGGGAACCGCATGAGTAGGATTTTGAAGGGCCTCGATGGAATCTCAGTGCTTTTCACCGCTTGACTGGGGTTTCAACGGTAGAACAGTTCTGAAAAGGGTTCTACCAGGGTTTTGGTTCAATATAATTAGAATAAAGTTCCGTTGAGCTAGGGGTGTAGGGGTAGGGCTTTACTATGAAGGATCGGTGGAGGGTTTTAGGAGGCATTTAGGTTTTGTATATGGAGTTGAATTTTAGGCTTTAGGCTGTCGGCGTTAGGGGTTTAGTAGGGTAGGGTTTGGGGTTTGATGGGGGCTTAGGGGTTTTATAGGGGTTGTACAGGGGTTCATGGGACTCGGATGACTTTGTCGCGTTTTTGAGTCATGGTCGAAAGCCTGAAACCCCCCTAGCAGCCTTTTGGTCTCATCGTTGCCTACACGAACTTCGTAAATTTCGAAGACCTTGCCTACTAATCGCCCGCTTCAACACCTAAACCCACCTAACTCCCCTCCCAAACTATATAACATGGCGGCCCGAAACCTTTAAAATGCTATTATTCTAGATAATTTTGGGTCCAGGTAACCCTCCAAACGGCCCTTTAAACGCCGGAGGTCAGGTTTGCCCGCCGGATTGGACGCCGAAGCTCCGTGACACGGGTACTTGGAAGGCTATGGAGGACCTCTATGAGCAGGGAAAGGTGAAGGCCGAGAAAAGGAAGTAGGGTTTAGGGTTTAGAGGTTTAGGGTTTAGGGTTTAGGGTTTAGGGTTTAGGGTTTACTTTTCAGGAAGTAGGGTTNNGGTGAAGGCCGAGAAAAGGAAGTAGGCTTCAGGGCTTAGGGAAATGTTTGGGCTTTATACCGTACTAAACCCTAAAACCAGTAGGGTTTAGGGCTGGAGGGCTTTAGGGCTACAGGGCTTAGACATTGTAGGGCAAGGTGAAGGCCGAGAATGAGAAAGGGAAGTAGAACCTGGGTGTAGGGCTTCAGGACTTAGGGCCTTAGGGAAAGGTGAAGGCCGAGAAAGA